AAGTGGAAAAAGGGGAAAATAAAGCGAGTGAGACAGGAGAAGATATTACTTTGCCCTCAAAAACTCCTTAAGCATTAAAAGGACGTGCATGTTGAAGTATTAGTGAAAATCAGTTAAAATTCAAAAGCAAGCTTCATTATTGTTATGTTGTGTTAGAATGTCGCAATTAATTAGAAATTTTCATCATTTAGCTTCCTTCGATACACAGATTGAGATTTTAAGCATTTCCATGGAAAACTGCATTTTGCTTTTAAATTGAATTTTAATTTTGAGGGGACAACTAAACTTGTTTTTGTAATTAGTGTTAAACTTAAGTAATTAATTTTACTGTTGTGGCTAAGCTCGTTTGTATAATTTTTATTCCAATTACGTACAGTCAGAAAGTGAGACACATAACGAGCCAGTTTAGGACGTCAATCAAATCTACGAGCTACGAGTTTGTTGCCAAACTTATGGGCATATATTCATTAAAACGACAAAAAATTTACAGTTTGTAGGTAAGTAGAACTATAATTTTTTTACAAACGGTTTGTTGGGTATTTTGCCTCTAAAATTTTTGTCTTTAAAAATACATAATTTCCTCACGTCTTTTATTGCAGATTGATAAATAGTGCTTTTATTTCGCAACAATTTATTGCGAATGAATCCGCCTCAACAATATATTATAGAACTTATCTAGAACCATAAAATCTTTAGAGAATATCAAATTCCATTGGTTGAGTCGATTCAAAAAATTATTCACTTCAGCCATTCAATGGGGGCATACCCGGGCCAATTGGAAATTGTACAAACAAAACTAAGCGATGTTTTATAAAATCGAAGGATTTCAGAACTTGAAAGATATTTCTAGCTTTTAAATGGGGACATTGTACAAAACCCAATTACGGATTCAGCAATGGCATCAAACCTTAGAAATGAACCTATTACAAGTGTAGATGTGAAGAGAGTTTTCTACTTATACAAATGTTCTTAGTGGTAGACGGTAAAATTTTACAATGGAACATTTGAATCAATATTTGGTGACTTTGTGTTTAAAATAATAACAATTTCCCTTATTTGTTTCTCGGTTTTATTGGGAATAAAATTTTAAGTTTGAAGTAATTAGAATAAATCCCTTTCCAGAAACTTAGTTTATTTATTTAATTTCACGTTTCATTACATTAAATTTCATTTTTCGAAAAATATGTTTTTACCCTACTAAAAATGTTGTGCATTTTTAATGCTTTTTACATATTTGCTTTTTTGTGAGAAATCAAGTTGTGTTTTAAGCTCTTTTTTTGAAGATTTTAGTGCTTTTTGATCTGGACTCTAATCATTGTATTTCCGAATCCATCGCCAACACAAATATGGTTTTTTAATTAAGCACGGCAGGAAATAAAATATTGAGTGAAACTCAAAAATATGTATTTTCGAAAATCGATCACAGATTTTTCTAAATCGATAATCACAAGTTGAGTTATACATTTAGCATTTTACATGGACGTCGTTCTTACAAAAACTTTTCCCACTCAAAAAAAGCAGAATTTCTTAATTGGTGACAACCACATGAAAATTGTAACTAAAATGTAAATAAAAAAGAAATTGTCTCATTTAGATAATGTTTCATTCTAAAAATCATCAATAATGTATAAAATATAGCAGATTGTTAATTGTGCTAATTAATCATCATTCATATCATTTCTTACAAAACTTAACAGTAAAGTAAAGGACATCATGTGTTTTGTCCGTATTGTTAATTAATTGTGCTGCTTATTTCCCTAAATTAAATGATTTTCCTTAAATCCGCTTGTGTTTGTAACTGCAATAAAAAAAATTTTGATTCGTACATATTTAATTCACTAGTTGTTGGAACTCGCAGAAAGACGATCATTTATTGAATTTAGAAGAAGTGTTCAGGATCGAACAAGAAGCCTAAGTTACTCCAGAACCACCAGAACTTTAAAATTTTGTCGCTGGAATCAACTGATTTTTTGAGTTAATGCACTAATCTTATTTTAACATTTTTTTCCTGTTTGTAAAATCTTTTAATTAATTAAATCTCATAATTTTTGCTTATTATCTCTTTAATGTTGTCTCTGTATATTAATTCTACTGAATTCGCAGAAGAAATTAGTGTTCTTAATATTTTCCGCGTAAAGACTTTTGTAATGTACATTTTTAAAATGATATATATATAAATAATCTTTATTTCCTACAGAAAAAGGCTATCGACCCAATCGGTCTTTCTGCCCTTGTTTAGTATATATGTGCCTTAGCCTAGC